CTTCCCTCCTTAGTGGAAGAGCAAAATTTAGAATGTGATCTCAGAGCTCAAGTGTTCTTTCTGCATAACTCAGCTTTAACCAACTGAACATAGAAAATTTTATTTGAGGGGCACCTGGGTAGCTCAGTTGGTTAAGCATCTGCCTTCTGCCTTGGGCTCAGGTCATGACTTCAGAGTCCTGGGATTGAGCCCCCCACTCTGCAGGGAGTCTGCTTCTCCTTCTCCCTCTGCCCCTCTCCCCCTCCTTGTGTGCTCTCTCAAGTAAATAAAATCTTGTAAAAAAAAAAAAAAAGAAAAGAAAATATTATTTGAAGCTGCCTAAGAGCAGATTTCCTTCCAGACTAAAAAAGGACATTTTATATTTGTAATAAATATGTTCCAATCCCAGAAGGGATTAAACTCAATGCTCTTGATCAAAATCTTACTCGAACAGGTGTAAGTTTAAAGTTCTGGCACTTGTCTTGCTTGGAGGCCCCTTTCTGGGACTTCCCTCCATGCTCAGGCTCCAGCCTCAGTAGCTCAGCTTGTCCTCTTGTCTCTCTTGAAACCTCACTATGTCCCAGTACACAGTTTGGGCTTCATTAAGGTTTAGATTAGAACTGGAACCAGATCCTTCCTGATGTCAGTGCCTCAGGCGGGGCTGCTAGGCTCCCTGGGGGAACGCTGGGCAATGATGGGATTGAGATGAATATATGAGAATCAAGACAGCAACCACACAAAGATCTTCATCTTTGCAGCTGCCACATAAGTGTGTGGATCCCCTGTTCCTTGCTGTTTACCTCATAGGTCTGGGGCTACACCTGTCAAAAAAATCAAGGATTGACTGTATTCTGGTCGCATGGGCAGGTGGAGAGAAAGGAGAGGGTAGGAATAGATGAAATGAGAATCCAGACCACAAGATTAACTTCATTTTTGAAAATTATTATTCAATTAATGGAATTCCAATAAAAGTATAGCAGTGGCTTAAAGGTTCTGAATCCCAAACCATAACGTTTCTTGAAAATCATGTAATGTAACAAGGAGAATACGAGGAAATTCACAGGCCCACTTTCTTGAAACAGAAGAAAATGTTTCTCCATAATGAAAGAGTGTAGCTTGGAGCAGGGAAAACCTCTCTGAAGGCATATCTAGTAGCATTATTGGACTTTAAAGATGTGAAAATACAGGGCACCTGGGTGGCTCGGTGGTGAAGCGTCTGCCTTTGGCTCAGGTCATGATCTCAGGGTTCTGGGTGTAGCCCCTACACCCCTGCTCAGCAGGGGGTGATCTTCTCCCTTCCTCTGCCCCTCCCCCCACCTCATGCTCTTTCACACTCTCTCAACTAAATAAAATCTTAAAAAAATAAGATGTGAAAATATAGGCAAAAACATCATGTTAGGAAATCAGGGTGACATTGGATTTTTCCTCAGCAATATTCAGTAACAAAAGAAAACAGAGTAACACTTAACATACACCCAAGTAGAAAAAGTGTGAGCCAGCTAAGCAGTCCTTCAAGTGGAGAACAGGCCAACATTTGAATATCTAAGAATTCAGGGAATAATATTCCCCGAGAACCTTTTCTGAGGCTGATACTAGAGAGTACAATCCAAGCAAGCAGGAGCTGATTGGCAACACTTCAGTAGAAAACTGAGGTGAGCATAATTTATTTCATTGCATAACTATTGTGAAAAATTTCAAGCATACACAAATTTAAAGAGAATGTATTATAAATCCCATGTACCATCTATCCAGGTTCAGTAAGTATCAATCTTTTGCCAATCTTGTTTCATCTTTTAGCTACCCTCCTTTTTTGTGCTGAAATATTTTATTTTTTTAAAGATTTTATTTATTTATTTGAGAGACAGAGAGAGAGATCACAAGCAGGGTGATGGTGGAGGGGGCAAGGGAGAAGCAGGCTCCCCACTGAGCAAGGAGCCCAACTGAGGACTCGATCCCAGAACCCTGGGATCATGACCTGAGCTGAAGGCAGACGCTTAACTGACCCAGCCACCCAGGTGCCCCAGTGCTGAAATATTTTAAAGAAAATCCTAAACATTAATGCTAATTTACACAGAAACATTTCAACATGCATCTGTAACTGATAAGGACTTTTTAAAAGCTATCAACCACCATGCTATTATTATACATAACATGGTATATATTTTATATGCATGTGTTTAGCTTATAATATTATTATAAATAATTCCCTGAAGTCATCTAATACCTATTTAATACTCATTTGTGAATATTTCCCTAAATATCGCAAAGATATTCTGTTATAGTTGGCTGTTTGAAACAGGTTACAATAAGGTTCATATATTGCTTTTGGTAGTTACATCTCTTGTCTCTTTTTTTGTCCTTTTTTCATGTCATTGGTCTGTAGAAAACTGGGTCATGTATCAAAGAGAATGTCCTGTATTGTTCATTTACTTGGTTGCTTCCTCATTAACTTGTTTTCTTTGACCTGTATTTCCTATGAGGTAGTAATTGGGTCTAAATCCTTGATTAGATTCACATTGAATTCTTTAGGAAGCAGTACTTGACAGGTGATACTGTGTACTTATTCTTGCACTGTGCAAGAATATCTGGCTGTCCCATTTTTAGAGATACTAAGGAAGATGAGTGGCTTCAAGTGGCACAGTCCTCATCCCGCCATGCTTTCCTCTCGTAGTTTAGAATTCATTATTTATTGTGTAGATCCATTATGTCATTAGGGGTAGCAAAATGGTTATTTTCTAATTCTGAAGAGCTCTACAAAGAATAAAATAATAATATGCATAAAGAAATAGCTTTTTCATGCACTTGACTAATCACGACTTAGAAGATATCACGGGAAAAAGAAACCATTGACTATAGCAGAAAAGAAGAATGCCTACAAATACAGGAAACTTAATAAAACTTGTGTGAGGAAAAATTTAAAATATTTCTAAAGGACAAAAGTTAGCCTTGAAGAAATGGAAAATAAATGGAAAGGATCCCCATGTTCCCAGACAGGTTGATAACAACATAACAAAGGTGTCTAATTAGGTAAGCTCTCCAGTGGGACCCAAGATTCTGAATCTCTTCTAGCCTCCCCGGCATGGCCTGCTTTGTGCTTTAGAGCAGTTCTCAAGGTGTGATCTCCAGCCAACAGCATGAGCATCACCTGAGAACTTAATTACAAATTGCAGATTCTCTTGTCTCACCCCAGACCTACTAAATCAGACACCTTGGTCCCAGCAGTCTCCATGTTAACAAGCCCTCTGGATGATTTTGACACGAGCTGAAAGTTTGAGAACCATGACTCTAGGGCTTCTGAAATTTCAGTTGTGTAGGAATCACCTAAGATCCTGTCAAACTGAAGATTTGATTCAACAGATCTGGGATAGGGTCTGATTCTGCATTTCTAACAAACTCCCTCACGATGCGGATGGTCTGACGATGACATTTTGAAGAGCAAGACTAGAAGAACAATCTGTTTCTAGTTTCCTCAAGGCCAACCTATCCTGTACCTTCTGCTCCCATTTTGTTCTGGGTATTAATGACAGATCATATGCTATTTCTCTCCGTAGTATGTTTATTTTAAGCAGAATTTAACCCACAGAAGTGTGTTCCTCTCAAAACAAATTTACCCAGAAATAATTGCAAATTAATCTCAGGCTTTGGTGGAGCAATTTTGAAGCGATGCCTAGTTAGCATCTTTTAAATCATGCCACCGAGGATATACTGCTGAATGGAATCTAGGGGAACAAATTAAGGAAAAGCTTACCCATAAAGAGAATTTTATATAAATCTATGTGTAAATCCAATTCACCTCTAATTTCTCTCCCTTAATAAATTCTGATTATCATATTTAAGGTTTAGGCTATCTATGGCTTCATAGGGACCCAAAATTTGGTGGCTTAAAACAACAAACATTTATTTAAGCTCATGATTTTCTGGGTCAGGGATTTAGGGAAGACACAGTAGGGAGTGCCCTGCAATGTCCACAGCCTCAGAAGGGGTGCTCAAAAATCTGCATGGTGGGAAAGGCTTTACTACGACCATAGCCCTGAAGTCTTTGTTCTGGCTCTTGGTTGGGTTCCCTGGTTCTTTTCCATGTCACGTCTACTGAGGCTGTTGAAATGGCTTCTTCACTCGTGCATCTGGCACCTAAGCTAGCATGACTGGAACAGCTGGGGCTGACCAGCTCCTCTCTCTTTCTCTCTCTTTCTCCCTCCACTTGGCTAGCTTGGCCTTCTTCAGAACTTGGACCTTCAGGTAAGTGGTCTTCTTGTGGTGACTGGCTTCTGCCAGGGTGAGCATTACCAGAGACAAGGCAGAAAGTTCCACAAATCTGGCTTTATTTCTGCTACGTGCTTTGGGATCACTAAGGCCAGATTCAAGGGGAGAAGGGTAAGACTCCATCTCTCAAATGGAGCCATTGAGCTGTACTACCATGGCTAGGTTTTATTAAAGTGAAACCCAGATTCACCAAAGATGCAATGAAGTTGCTTTGGTTAGAATCAATGTAAATGCAAAAACAAACAAACAAACAAAACAAAACAAAACAAAACAAAAAAAACTAGCTTTAATACCTTCTCTGAAAGGCTCAAGAGAGCCGGTGGTTAACATCAATTCCTCACTCTGCCTTCAGTGATCTCACCTTGGTAACTTAAATATGTGTCATAGAAGTTGGCAAACATTTCAAATCAGAATCTTTTTAAGAGCCAGTTGTTACATATTAATCACACACCATGTTTAAAATCCAAATAATATATCACATATGTTGCAAATATACTGAACTTTACATCCTCCACCCTCCACTCTGTATGTATGTATATATATATTTAAAAGAACATGGGTCTATTACATAGTAGATGCACATTTTGCATTTGGTTTTGATAAACATAAAACTGCAAAAGCAGTTTTGACAGTTTCCTCAGACCTCCAGTCAGGAACCCTTTCAGCACAATGGTTACTATACCAAGGACCCATGATATTTGTTGGGGCTCACGAAGGTGTTTTTAATTTCTTTTAAAATCAGAAGAAAATGAATGAACTTTTGGGTTGCAAAAAAATGCTTTAATACATAATATCAGTGTATTCATCTTTATATTATTACAGTCATAAATGTGTGTGTATGTGTCTTTTTTAATGTAGAAAGGGGTCCATGCAGGCAGCAGTGCCTCTGGCCCCCAAAAGTCATAAGACAGCCCTGACTATAGGGACATTTTCAGCGCACAGTGGAAACATGTGAAAAAGCTCTAAATTTTAGGCATCATATCCTTTGACTGTGTTATTCATGAGAACTGCTGTCTTCAGCTTCCAAGGAAATGAATTCCAAATGGTAGGATTTCATACATCCTTGAAAGGTAGTAGAATAGACTTGCAGGACAAGGATTTCCTCCGACGAAATCACAGATCCCACTGTCTCCAGCAGTCTGGCAAGAGTTTCTTGCTTACTCACAAGTCACCACTTCTGTCCCCAGATGCCATGACCAATGTTCACAAAGAGTGGCCAGACTTCTTGTATGAGTCTTCCTGTCAAACCATAAAAATCTTAGAACTTGAAGCCACTGAACCCCAACCCCAACCCTTGACTAGTCCCTAGGCATCAGTTTGAGTATATCTTGACACTGCCTGCCCTGGGAGCTTCAAAGCTGCTTCCCTTTGGGCTCTTGTCTTCAAGGAAACACTAAATGTGAGAAAACACAGAAATACACCGGGTTGCTATGGATGCAGCCCAAAATGTCAGAATGAGTGTATCCCGATCCCTGTGATTCTGCAGTAGTGGACTACACACTGTGGGCAGTACCCACAAGCACCATTGTGGTCTCATCGTCCTCAGGGCTAAGTTCCAGGCCATCGTCCACCACCCTGTGTAGGGTACTGTAATGTTGCCGGCTCTGCCGGAAAGAATGCAGCTCTGAAGCAGCCTCCCAGGCCGCAAAGGAGGGCATAGGGAAGACATCTGGCCTCTTGTTTTCAAAAAAGCATTTCAGGTTTCTCTCGCTCAGCTTGTTGGCATACTCCAGGAATGTATTTTCCAACTGCTCCTTCTCCTTTTGTGCATACGTCTTCCAAAAACTCAGCTGAAGGTAGCTAACTTTAGATCGGCAGCGAGCGTAACAAGTGGCGAGCAGAGAGAAGAAAGATGCTGAACAAATCAGGCACCATCCTAGAATCTTAGAAAGAAAGAAATATTGAGGACGCGGAAAAGTAAAGCCACTTCCCAGGCAGCGGAGGTGGTGTTACTGGTAAGTAAGTGCCTGGCTAAGTTAACACCACAGTCATGGCCACGCCTCATTTGAAATCCTTCATGTTAATTTTTTAACAATACTTTTTTTCAACAGTGAAAGTAAAGTTCAGGTTTGCTTAATCCCTATTATCCATCCTACCCCCATTGCTGGTATGCAACTAAATAACCAGAAGGCAGACAAATGGAAAAGGGCAAAAATAGAAATTATCCAAGAATCAGCTAAACCAAGCCCTCAAGTAGTCGCTTTTAAAGGAAAGAATTCCGTGCATGAGTGAATGTGGTCATGGGAGCCAATGAACAGTTTCTCAGCCAGGAGTTTCCAGGCATTGATAAGTGCATATTCATGGCCAGTGACTGACTTTTCCATGTTACGTTGTTTGCAGAGAACAACAGATCCTCTCTGAGAGAGATCCCACTACTCATCATACATGATAAAGTGAGACAGACATAATACAATGGAGAAACTGAAGCTAAAAGAATGAAAAGGCTGTATAAAAGCCAAAAAAAAAAAAAAAAAAAAAAAAAAAAAACCAAAACCCCCCAAACAACCAGAGTCATTCTAAACCTTCAGGATTATTGGTTCTGATTTCTGGCAATTGGAAAAAAGAAAAAACAACAACCAAATTCCTTTTTGAGGACAAACTGGTTCAGCTGGCATTTTTTTTCCTCCAAATTTTAAAAGCAAATAAAATAGTTCAACTTACCTCCTAAACTCTCTTGTTGTTCTTAATTATATTTGTCACAATTGGAATTAATCTCCTATTTGGACAACTAACAGAGCCCTTTCACAGTTTCTCTTGACATTTTCGTTAAATGACCCTTAGTATTTCTCAGCAAATGGGCCTATTTGAAAATAGAAGCAATAATCCACAAATGAACCCATTCTGACCCTAACAGGACTACAGATACACTCCAGTGCTTTAAATCAGGAGTTCCCACACTCTGCTCAGACTGTGGAGTCATTGTGAAGGTCCCAGACTCCACAGGAATGCCAACTCTGGACTGGCGCTAGGTGGGTTTAAATCTCAACCTTCCCCTCCTCTGGGTGTTCTCATTTCTTATGGGTGCCTCATCTCCTCAGTCATAAAATGGGAGTTACCCACCACAGAGAGGAAGTTGGGGAATTAAAATAAGACCCTGTAGACACACATATGCCTTCAGGAAGTGTTAGCTATTATCACAGGCTGCTATTTTTCAAACGTATAGATGTTTGTGTAAAAGCATAACTGAACTCAGGGTGTCTTCCTGTCATGATTTACCAATGAGGCACTGCTCCTATCGTGTGAAAGTCCTCATATTTACCTCGAATCACTTGTGGTTGGCTTTTTCAGAGCTTCCTCTTCCTCTTCTACCTTCCTCTTTCCATACAGCCAGGCCTCCTGTATTGGGCCGTCTTGTCTCAGTATCTGAGCCAGTTCTGAGTTACACTATTTGATCAACTACAGATTCCTCCTCCCACATTGCTTGGCCTTAGCGTCACCTCGCTCTCACCCAAGTGCTGAGCACTGAGCCCTCATGTTCTTCCACAAATCCTAGTACCCGGAATCTATCAGACACGGTGGATGCTCCCCCTGCAGCCCTCAATACGTTCCATTCCACATGAGCCTCCTCTCGCAAACCCTGGTGGTTTTCTCATTAATTTAGAACACTTACTTTGTGTCAGCAGCTTTATGCTCAGGTATGTCCATTATCTCTACGTCTTCCAGCCACCCTCCAAAGTAGGTGTTCTGACTCCCAGCTATGAGGACACGGGCTCAGAGGGGTCCAACCATTAGCTCTGGGTCATAGAACTGGTAAGTGGTAGAATGAGGATTCAAACCTAAGGCTAACCAACTCTAGACCAACTCTTGCCACTAGTCCACTCAACTTCCTTAAGAATAGAGAGGCACCCAGCTGGATTTCTTGTTTCTTTGCTCCACCCCTGGATGGGGCACTTTTTCCACTCCCACCCACATACCCAACTATTGATCGTTCCTCCTGCCTGGCTGAACCACTTGTGGTCAGCACCTGCCATTGATACAGCTCCCCTTGTCCACATCCTGCTTGCATCTTCCGCTGAAAATCAGCCCCAGGTCCTTCCTATTCTGCTGTAAACAGGTAGTGTGCCCAGACTAAGCTATGACAGGATACGCATGACTTCCTTATGCCTGTGTTTAGAGAAGAAAAGCTCACACAGTGATAAGTGTTTGGATCTGGCACTAACTGAATAGAGTCTGGTGCCTGAGGACATAAATCATAAATCACTCATTGTATCATAACATTTGTAATTAATACCTTCCTTCAACAAAAGAAGGAAGACATTTGGGATCCTGGCAGGTTTTTATCTAAGATGTGCCTTATGCAGTAATGAAAAGATTTTGTTTGACGGGGTGGGGGTGCATTTTTAAGCTTCTCGGTTTGTGCAAAAAGTCTGGTGTGACTCTACTGCCAGCCAGCTTTGGAAAGTATGATTTTAAAACCAGACTGCCTCGATGAGTTTGTTGAAAAGGCAAGTCCTTGCTGAAAAAGTAAAATTATACCATTTGCGGTGCGTTCATTCTGAAATGAATGGCATTCCTGACAAATTGTGGCTCTGTTTATCTACCCTTATTAGTTGTTTTGGTTTGGGGAATGTAATCCTACTGCTCACAGGTAGGAATTGGGCCTTTTCCCGAGGCCAGGGCAGGGCTTCACATCTGGATTTGTGCTCAGGCACCTGGAAGGGCGAGCAGCTACTTCCCTGTGTCCATTAGGTAAAGCTACAGTTTCCTTCTGTTAAATCAAACAGTGTCCCAAACCCTGAGCTTCTAAACTGCTGTAAGAGCTTCTGTAGCTGGAGAGCGCAAAGAGCAAAGGAAGCAACCTCCCTGGAGAACATGGTCCCTTTCCACGAATGGCTGTGTCGAGACTGCCAACGCCCCGTTTACGCGGGAAATCTTTCTCAATTCTGACAATATTCATACACAGAGCGAACAGTCAGTCGCCAGGAGTCATTTGAGGAAACCTCTACACTGATTATATCACATGCAGCTTTGAAAAATATTAGTTCACTTGGTTTGGCTGGATTTTAATAAGCGAGTGAGTGCCACATGCACAGGTTCTCAGAAACCAGTTTGAAAATAAATAATTGATAGAAAGCAGCAATTTCTAATCACAGCTCTGCCATTAACTCTCAATTATGAGTTAGTGTGGTGCATTATTCACAAAGTCAACCCCAAGAGGTGGTTCTCAAAGCACTTAAGTATTTACATCTGCTCCCCCCAGGGGACAGTTTCTTTTCAGAAGTGGAAAGGACACAATCCAATCAGCAATTTCACGGAGCCACCAACCTCCAAAATAGCTTTTCCGGAGATGGTGCAGGCTGCGTCATGTCCCAGTTTTCATTTAGTGTCACAACGTGCCTGCAGGATTGCGGCTCGGCTGTGCCTGGAAGGATGGAGCGAGAGTCCTTGGAGCTCCTGCGGGGGGAAAGAGCAGCCTGTCCTTTCTTACCTGGGACTGGGCTTGCAGGGACAGCTTCAGTTCTTCGCTGTCCGCGGCTGTCAGGCTGGTTTTGCCACAAGAGACTTTGTGCAGCTCATCCCAGCACTCCCGGGGCTTGTCCTTGCAGATCAGGCCCAGGAGTTTCGAGCTTTTGGTCCCGCTCATGGCACATTCATAAAAAGTCCCATTGAGCAGAGCCACGGAGAGCCACATCATCGGAGCCACCAGGGAACTCAGCGTGATCTGGCCCAGGACATGGAAGAAGCGGCAACTGTGGCCTTTGGGGAAGATTTTCCTGGGGTTCACACAGCAGCCTGTGAAGAGCCTCCACGACCTGCTGTTCAGGAAAAATCCCAGGATCAGCAACACCCAGGCAGGGGCGACCAGGAACACCAGCCCATAGACCACGTTCTCCTTGCTGCAGGGACACTTAAAGGCCACAAGGGAAAAGAGACGCTCACTGCCCACGGTCAGCAGAGCCATAAAGCTGTAGCCGATAACAGTCTTCTGGTTGAGGAAGAATTTTAAAATCCCCTGAAAAGCATCCATGCTGAAGGGCCCGGCAAGGGGAACCCGCTCGGCCTTACTTATGGGCAGAGCAGCCGGGGCAGTGGCCGAGGGTGGAGCTCCTTCTCACTACAAACAACAGTCCAGACTGTTCTCCAGACTGACTCCAGCCAGATAAGGAAACAATGTCATGCCCTAGGAATGAGTCTTTCCCAACCGTGTTCAGATGATGCCTCCTACTGGTGGGATTTCGCGCCGTGGAACCGGGGCCCAAACACTGAGGATCTGAGTTAAATTCAGAGTGCCCCGCTCCCATTTGACGTTATTTTCACATGGCTTGGATTTTCAATCATATAAATAGCAGTCTAGGAATTTTCCAGCCAGAGGAATCAGCATGAGCAGAAATAGGTTTCAGCCAATTCACTGGGAGCCAAGTCTCCGATTGTGGAATTTCATGCAGGCTTTTCCTTTGCAGCTTAAGACGTTTTGCTATTTTGCCTTAAGATCTGAAAGATGCATTTTGGGTCCCCTGGAGCTGACGAGTGTCAAAGATGTGAGCCGAATTTTAGGATTTGGGCTATTTGAAATTTATATGGAAAAGTTTAGGGAGCATTTGAATTTTGAGTGACAGACAAAATGAGAATGGTCCTCACCGTTTCTTTCCCAGGCGATGAGAGCAACCTCTCGATTAGTATCTCTGCCTTTGCCCTCATGCCCACCCCATCTTCGACCCTAATAATGACTAATATTTTAATTTCTTACCTTCTCGCACGATATTTATTTTGGAAAAAAATTTTTTGAGAAATAATGCTTAACTCTGTTTCGCAAAGCATATTGTTTCCACGGAAAACTAGTCCCTTAAGATATTCCATAAAAACAAAAGGGTTTAAGACTTGTACAGGTCTCAGGGGCAGTGCATTCCAAAGCTGAGTATTCCAAAGTCTGAACCCAGACTTTCTGACTACAAACTCCACATGCTTAACCATTGTGTGGACCACCCGGAAGAGAATATTTGGGGCCTCTGCTAATGGATATTTCTTCCTGACCAAGTTCTAGTAGAGTTTTTTTCCTCTTTATCAGGTTGCCTTTAAGATGTACTTGGGGATTACACCCAGTGTGACCTGTAACAATTCAAGCAGAACTGAATTTTCCCTGATCCTAGACAAGAATCCGCTGGTGGAGTTTGTGGAAGAGCTCCCTGCCGGGCGATCCTCTCTGTGCTACTGCAATTTACTCTCTGGGATTATCAGAGGTGCCCTGGAAATGGTAAATCACATATTTCATTTTGCCAGGTATATTCGTTATCTAGTGCTGTGTAACAAATTACCCCCCAATACAACTGCTTAAAACAACAAATATTTATTATCTCACACAGTTTCTAAGAATCAGAAATCTGGGAGTTTTGCTATGTAGGTTGTGGCTAAGAGCCTTTCAGAGCCTAATATCCATGCATTCCAGTCGTTGGTCACGGCTGCAGTGGTGGAGACTTGACTGAGGCTAGAGAATCCACCTCCACACTTACTCACATGGCCTCAGTGCATTACTGACAGTGGGCTAGAGGCTCCATGAAATTCCTTGCCACATGGCCCCTTGGTAGATCTAGTCACAGCAGGTGCTGCCAAGCCTGGTATACTGTGGGAGGGAACTACCCGCGGGTGTGAATAACAGGAGGCGGAGATCATTGTGATCTGTTTTGGAGACTGGCTTCCATACCTGACTATTCATCAGCTTAACAAAGACAGTAATTCAGCATCTGTTCAAAGGCACTGAGCATACAAGATGAGTAAGACATAGTTGCTTCCCTTTGAGAGTTTCTGTGCGGCAGAGAAGTCAGATGTGTAAAGAAGTGTCGATGATGGCTATGGGAGAAGCTGGGTTGGCGTGGGTAGTGGGGCAGGGATGACTTCCTAGAGAAACTCTGGGCTAGCATGTGAAGGATAAATAAGAACTAGGGGAAGGAAGGCCTTAGGATGAGGGGAGCAGGGGAAAATCATATTCCAGGTAAAAGGAGTAGCATGTTCAAAGGCACGAAAAGAATGTTTCATGCAAGGAGCAAGGAACCTTCCTTTCAATAGTGTGTGAGGAAGTCAGCCTTTTTAAACTAGTAAGACTGTTATGGGCCTTCTGTTTTTATAAATATTCAAAAGACTTCTGGGTTTTAAATGTATTCCTATTAGGGTTCAGTTTAGTTTTTCTTTGAATGTGATTGTAGGTGTGATATAATAAATATGTACATATATTAAAAAAAGGGAACAAGGAACTTGAATTAGTTCAGTATGGGTGGCATGTAGATTGAGAGAGATAATGTCAGGAAAAAGGAGGTTTCATTTCTTTACAGAGGCCTGATTTTGAGAAAGTGGTGGGATCATTCATATGACCCAAGTTGGGAATTTAGACTTTTGTAACGAAAGCCGCAAAGACCTATTAGAGGTTGATAAACAAGGGAATGATATTTTGAGATCTGTGGTTTAGAAATTCCATTCCTTTGTTGTCAAAGCAGAAGTGTACAGTAGGGTAGGATGCTGGAAGAAGAGGGCAGTTGGGAAGCTGATGATAGTAACCTCAAGAAAAACCAGAATAAAGCCCTGACAATAGGAATGGATTTGAACAACATTAAGAAAGCAGAATAGTAATTAATTAGACTGAAGACTAGGATATCAGTTGACTGAAAGAGACAAGATTGGGAAGAAGAGTCAGGAATTATTCAGGGTTCTGAGCAACCTGTAAGGATGGTTGTACTATTGATCAAGAGAGTAAACCAAGGAGGGGTACAGTGGGGTTAGGAGACACAAAGTGAGGAGTTCAGTTTGGGAGGTTCTAGGTTTGAGGTGTTTAACACACAGGCAAGTGATGATATCCAATAAGCAGCTATTTTTTTTAAATTTATTTATTTATTTATTTATGATAGTCATAGAGAGAGAGAGAGAGAGGCAGAGACACAGGCAGAGGGAGAAGCAGGCTCCATGCACCGGGAGCCCGATGTGGGACTTGATCCCGGGTCTCCAGGATCACGCCCTGGGCCAAAGGCAGGCGCCAAACCGCTGCGCCACCCAGGGATCCCCAATAAGCAGCTATTACACATGTCTGGAAACCACAGAGAGATGTGGGCTGTCAAAAGCGTGTAGGGAGTGTGTAGAGGAAGAAAGAAAAGGAGTCACAGGTGGAACCCTAGGAAGCGATAACACGTAATGAGTAAGTTGAAGAGAGAATACGAAGGCTGCAAAGGGTACCAAGAAGGAGTAATCAAAGGTGAGAAAAATGCAAAGACAGAATGGAGTCAGAAACAAAGGAGGAGAATATTTCAAGAAAAGGGACAGAGTCACAAGATCAAGGACAGCAGAGGGGTGAAGCAAAACAAGACCTGAGAAATATTCAAAACACGCAGGGACCCAAAAGTCAGGAAGGACCTTAGTAAAAGCTGGTTTGGGAAAGTGAAGGAAGAAGAAGACCATCTGTCAAAGACTGTAGAGCCAAAGGCAGCTTAGAAAGAGGTAACAGTCCACAATGTCTCATTTTTCCAGAAGCTTAGTTATTAAGAGTGGTGGGACCAGAGAGTAGCCAAAGACTCGACATGTGTTGACCCACCCAATAATGATACATTCATGTAATTTTTCAATTATTGCTGATAATTAGAGGAAGGACATAATAACAGGGAATCCAATAGAATACAACTATTGAAATCATATTTTATTCACATAGATCTTGCATGTTTCTATCCTACCAATTTTTAAAGATTGCCTTATAATCCAGAAATCAAGAAAGGGGAAGGGAAATATTCCCTTATAAGCAAAGGGATGATCCATAAAACAAAGGCAAAAAGAGGATAAAGAATTCTCCAGCTTTCATGGATAACAGTTGATTCTATGTGCTATATGACAAACATATCAGACCTCATGCAGCCTCCAGTATCCAAATAGCTTCAACATAGCCTCCTAGTTCATTTTAATTGACCTTCTGTTAAATTTTGACAAAAAACAAAATTGTTTTTGATCTCATGGGGTGGGGGGAAATGACGGTAAATATAACTTCTGTATTTCAATTACCTATTAAACTCAGGTTTTATCACTTATTATTATTATTTGCTTTTACCAACCAAGTACTTTTGCTTAGTTATTTTACTTATCCCAATGACGTAAAATAGCTGAACAGACACTCTATTGAGGGGAGTAGGTCAGCAATATGCTGCTCTTATGTGAATGCATTTTAATGAATAGGGAAGTAAGCCCTGTGGGATTACGTCAATGTATGGGAAGTGAGAAATGCTTTACAGAGGGAAAGAAGGGCTGGATATCAAATATTCATGTCTGTAATTTCTATCATTAATTTTATATTTATAATTTATTTAGCTGATGCTTTTTCAAAGCTCTCAAAGCTGTAAGTGATTCCTAAATGTTGTTAGGACAAATGATTATGTTATTTAGCTGATGACAGAATGATTGATTGCAAGTCACTGGGAAAGAAATCCTTTAAGAATCCATTTATCCTCAGAAGTTCTGTCTGACAAGGCACATTGGATCAAGGCTATCTTTCAGTTGGGAATTTGTGTTCTTCTTGAGATGGACCCATAGTTCAGCTCTGCGCTGTGAGCAAGAGTGGGCTCATCTCTCTGGGCTTGCCCCCAGAGGCAGCCAGGTTGGGCCTGGCCTGGGCCCCCCTTCTCTCTGTGGACTTACACCACAGAGCTGCCACTCGGCCAGACCGTGTCTGGAGGACACATAGCAAAGGGCCCTTCATCTCCCAGAGCAAGCTCTTTTTCATCATTCCTGAAGGAAAGTCAGCCCCTTCTAGGGTAAGTAAAGCTGAAAGCAGAGACAAATTTAGAGAGGTTGTTTTTGTTTGTTTGTTTGTTTGTTTGTTTTAAAAAATTAAATGATGCAGGCCTGGTTTATTTTTTATTTTTTCCCTTTCCTAGGTTCATTTGGCTGCTGATGTTACATTCTTGCAAGACACACTGAAAGGCGACCGTGTGACAGAAATAGGAATAACATTTCTGAAAAAGCTAGATGAGAAAAAATACAGACGGAAAAAATGAAGAATTGCATGCAAAATGCCACAGGGTGGCCAGTTGAGGAGTAATATTATCTAAATATATAGAGCCATAGAAATTTTGAATTGCTTAATAATAGCATGGGCTTTAAATGGCTTATATATCAGTCAGAAATTTGAAGTGCAGAGCACTAGGATTTAAAGCTGTTTTTTTTCCTTTGCTTATAGATTACACGTTTTCAATCTTATTTCCATAAGATTTCATATACAAATAAGATAGCATACATGAATTCCACATATCATATGTGCATCCTAACAGAGCCCACTTATTTCATTTATTTATGATAATGAAAAACAAAGCATACCAACTGCACAGTTGGTATATTTATCCATTCTTATTGGAAAAATAGATGAAATGATATAATATAGAGTTCACTATATGTAGACAATTTCTAGATACCATATATTACATTCTCTATAGAAATAGTGCCATTTATAACACTTTTCCATATTTTTGAGTAACTATGGATATGATTTCTCTTATATATTGGCTCGGGTTATCACTTCAGCCTCCTAAAGCTGCTCTCCCTTGATTTATAACTACCAAGGCAAGCTGGTTATTTGTATGCTAATTCTGAAATATTTTAAAATAGTATTTAATTTTAATTCATGTAAATTTTAGATAATATTGACCAAATGTCTTCCTTTTCTTATGAAACATTGCTGATGGGCAGGCCAGGAAACCTCTAAAATGAGAGGTAAATAATATTTTTTGAAAATACTTTCTTACCCCAAAGCTTATTCAGTTAGAACTTCTGCTATCATTTTTTATTCCCTAAAAAACCTTACAAAGCATAGTTTGTGACCAGAACATATTTAAAATTTAAAATGTACTGGATTAAATAAACAATAATCGTTACCAGACCATCAGCATACGCAGGTAGCCTCTATGGCAGTCCAGGATCTACTGGACTCTGCAGAAAACTGAAATTCCAAGTACATTAGAATTAGTGTGGGTCCATCAGTTAAAACTAGCATAAAGGATATGATCGTGGTAGACCTCAACAAGGACTCAGGAGCCTGAAGACACAGTCCCAGGTCTGTTTCTAGTGGATTCAGCTGATCCTAACTAATGGCTCATCTCGGGCCAGGCACATAAAAGATTACGTGCTCTCTCTCATCTATACAATGACACCATTGAACGTGATAAATATCTAATTATATAAATGGCTTTAAATGACATCAGGAACCACTGAAATTCCACATTTTTGGATTTTGAAGACATGAGGAAATTATTTGTTCCCTACCTACTCAGCTATCTCTTCAAAAGGACATCGAGGTTGGTATTAAGAACCAAATAGCATCACTGGGGCAGTTGCAGCAACCATGGAGGGAACTTCAAGCCAGTTCCACAGAAGACCAAGAGTAGAGTCTCAAAGAAGAACTACCTGACATCAGAAGGGCTATCACAATGCCATGTATTTTAAACTGATGCCTCCAGAAGAATGTTTGCCTGACATTCATCCCAAAACTTCTTTTTGGGATATTTCCATCTTCTGTTCCTCTTTCTCCTTTATAGTACACTCACCCCTCCAGGAACCCAAAATACTCATGTCTAAGGGCCTTCCTCTTAAATCAGTACCCAACTAACCTCTTGTAAATGTTCCATACTCTGGAATATTCTCTAACCTGACTATATCGTGCTCTCTTTTCTTTCCTGACCCAGCCATCCAAACTGCCTTGGCGCTCTGTCTTCATTGCCCACCCACCTGAGGACAGGTGAATCTGATGCTCTCAATGATGTGGAGTGTGAGAACTGGTGAGGGTTTTGGGATAAGGCTTGTTCTCCATCCTCTCTCCTCCCCTCATCTTAGAGTGGGAGACACGAGGCTTTGGGATTGAATTTGTGGTATGAACAGTGACCTATTTAACTGAGAGAATAGTCCTCCCTTATCCACAGAGGATATGTTCCAAGACCCCCAGTGGATGCCTGAAGCCACAGATAGTACTAAACCCTATATATACTATGTTTTTCCTATATATACATAGCTGCAATAAAGTTTAATTTATAAATTAGGCACAGTAAGAGATTTATAATAATAATAATAACAAAATAAAACAATGACAACAACATACTATAATAAAAGTTATATAAATGTGGGATTTCTCTTTTTCAAAATATCTTACTGTACTATACTCACCTTTCTGTGATGACGTGCGATGATAAAATGCCTATATGATGAGATAAAATGAAGTGACTGATGGAGGCATTGCGATGGAGAGTTAGGTTACTATGGACCTTCTGACCAGAAGTCAGAAGGAGAATCATCTGCTCCCAGACTGTGGTTGATTGGAAAGCAAAACTGCACGTGAGGAGAGACTACTGTATTCACTAGGTGCTGTATCCTGAGGAAAGTTAAGAATCTAAAAATACTGTTAGAAGTAGAGCCACATATATAAATTTTCTAATAGCCACACTCAAAAAGTAAGAAGGAGGGATGCCTGGGTGGTTCAGTTGGTTGAGCACCCAGCTTTTGGTTTTGGCTCATGTCATGATCTCTCAAGGATCTCGTGGGATTGATCCTTGGTCCATGCTCAGCACTGAACCTACTGATGATTCTCTTTCTCTCCCTCTGCCTCCCCCTGCTCTCTCTCTCTTAAATAAATAAATAAATAAATAAATAAATAAATAAATAAATTCTTTTTAAAAAAGGTCAAAAGGAGTAGGGAACACCAATTTTAATAATATACTTTATTTACACTATGTATCCAAAATTTTATAAGTGGACTAATTATCCAAAGTATTATTATTTCAACATTTAGTCAATATAAAAATTATTTTTTTTAAATTTTTATTTATTTATTTATGATAGTCACAGAGAGAGAGAGAGAGGCAGAGACACAGGCAGAGGGAGAAGCAGGCTCCATGCACCGGGAGCCCGATGTGGGACTCGATCCCGGGTCTCCAGGATCACGCCCCGGGCCAAAGGCAGGCGCCAAACCGCTGCGCCACCCAGGGATCCCCAATATAAAAATTATTGAGGCCATTTATATCTTCTACATCATATCCTTGCTTAAAATGTCTTTAAACTGTAGTGTGTATTTCATACTTTTAGCACATCTCAATTCAATGCTAAATGTTCAAAGCTTCCAGTAGTCCTACCAAAACAATAAATCTGTGTTTGGTGTTGTTTAATAGCTTCAATTTTTAAATTTAAATGAACTAAAATTAAAAATTCATTTCCTCAGTCACACATCATATTTTAAGTGTTCAATAGCCACATACAGCTAGTGGCTACTCTAATGTACAGCACAAATTCCCAAAGACCTACCGGGTCTCCTTGAGCTTGGACACAAAGAGTTAAGGGGGAGGATTCAGGTTAATAGAGAGGGAGGAAGGAAAAGGTAAGAAAGACCATCAGAGATCAATGAAATGCTGAGTGGTGACCCATAAAAACAGAAAAGTTTCTATGTAAAGATTTCATACTCCAGAAAGGTTGCACACCGTCCTCTGGGTTCCAAGTATATTTTCACTCTCTTGGTGTGAAGCTGAGTCTTTCTAATAATGTCTTTGTGGAAGTTGCACAGTGTAACTACAGAGTTACACCACATTTTTATTTCATAAAAGCCTTCACTCTAAACCCTAAACCTTGAATAATGCAGAGATTTTTTTTTTTTAATTGTCTTGGCAAAGCCAAAAGGGAAGAAAAATTCCGGGTAGAGAGAGAGTTTATTGCTATTCAAACAACATCACCAGATTGCTACCTGAGCCATTTACAGGGGAGACCTACTGTGGTTGCTATTCAATAAAGTTGCGGGAATCAGAAATACTCCCCTCAACAGCCTACATACTTGCTTATTGTCTTCTCACATCCCTTAGGTTCATCTGTTAGTTACTAGAAGCCTGGATCTCTTTAGCATTTGGAATGGGCTATTATGAATAAGTGGAAAGTTCCCTTTACTCTCTGTTTATGAAGGACTAAAGTAGAAATATGGAAAACCAGATGCATGAAGTGAGAGAATGACATTAAAACTCTTGTAACCAAAGAGGCCACTTTCATCAAGAGCTACTAAATATTAACTAACACAGTCAACATTGAAAGAGATAATATTATTCACTGTTAAGGGTCTGTCGGGTGGGACTGTAGACTCTGAGTGATTGTTATATTTCACAGCCTTGGAGGCTAATTAAATCCTCCTCATTAACACTGAAGTCCGTGATGAAGGTAACCCCAGAAACTTAGTAGGACAAACATTTTCTTCTTTAAAAAGAGAGCCAAGCTTTGTTTATTCTGTTGGTTGCATATTAAAAAAAAATTCTGTCCAGTTGTACTTCTTCATTCTGATAAACCTTCCAGAACTTCAGCTGGACATGACCAGTGGTTGACCAACAGTGGCTATGGCAAATAAGCAGACAGAGGGAAAGGGGATGTGGAAGTATAATGTATCAGTCTGTAATTTGAGAAGGAGACACACAGTTCTTACTTAATCAGCAACAGTCACCCTACAAACGAGAATAAGGCACAGCCACAGCAATCATTAGCCAAATTTTCTTTTTCAAGTGTTTCATTAAGAAAGGAAGAGCTAAACAAAACATATCAGAAATTGGAAATCCTTCACCAAAAACAGATAAGAAATAAATGTCCTAGGATAATTCCTTGTTCTCCCTCAAACTCAAACTCTGTCTTTCCCAGTTAAATTTTTGTTTTTCTTCTTTTGGTTTCTTTTGTCTTCTGTTTTTTCTTCTTGGAGCTCTGTTACCACTACCTACGCTTCTTTTTCTTTTTCCCAAAGATTCTTCCTGCATCTCCTTTACTTCGTCCTTTATTGCCCCTTCCACTTCTTTTATCTTCATTAAGCTTCAAGTAATGGATGTTTGTTGGCTGCCTATATTCTCCACTAATAGACTGACGTTTTTCTGTTCAGCAGCCTGTTATTTTATTAGGCAACCTATCTTTCAGGAAAAGTCATCGCTATCTCCTGCTCCATTGCTATCACCTGGGCACAGTGGCTCTTTCCCATTTGAAAACGACCTCCTTGCCAGTCCGATCTCAGCCAGTCAGGACATGGCATTCCCCAGACCACAATCATTGCTGCTGACAAAGGGCAGAGGACAAGGATGAATGGACTGATAACAGAAAAGTCTGCTTGTTACATGAACTAATAAACTTACAGCATTCTTTGAGCAAGTAGAATTTTCTGTTATGTAATGCAACAAAGTCCACTGCCTGATAAATAGGCGATAATTTGCAATATAATGGAGAACACCAAAGGGAAAAACTTTAATTTTTTGAAAGATTGTATTTATTTTTTAGAGGGAGAGAAAAGGAGAGAGAGTGAGGGAAAGAGAGAGAAAGGAGTAAGGGCAGAAGGAGAAGCAGATTCCCCACTGAGCAAGGAGTCCAATGGAGGACTGAATCCTAGGACTCTGGGTTCGTGACCTAAGCCGAAGGCAGATGCTTAACCAACTGAGCCACCCAGGTGCCCAAGAATAAACTTTATTATTACATTTCTTGCATGGTTGAATGCCCAATGAAATAAATTTGGCTTTACAATAGCTTTCCTCCTCACAGAAAGGAAAGGGTGGCAGGAGAGAGAGACTAGCAACCAAGCATGATAGTGTGCATCTACCTAGCATACAAGTCCCAGAAAAGGGAGACCCCATAGGGAGAAGACATTTTGAATCAGTGGTAGCTCTATAAAAACAAACAAAACTCAGACATTTCAGGTACTTCAACTATTTTTGCAGGAAACTCAAAATCCCATCGAATTACCCAAAGATTTCAAAGTCAGAACAATCCTCCCAGAGCCTCCCAGTGGCCTAAATCTTTTAAGCCAGCAGACTACTTGGTGATTTGGCCTTTCTGTGCAGTATGTGAATCACAGGTTTTAATGGCCTAAAAGAGGAAATGCTAACCCTGTGGTCTGGATATACCTAACAATGGAAGCACCTGGAAATGCTGTTTTCTTGGATTTGGATTCAATTAAGATATTTATCTGGTGCTAGGTACACAATTATGTGGTGTGTCACTTAATTTTCATAACAATCTGCAAGACATTAGGTTGGTAACAAAGACAAAGAGTTCAGTATGAAACTAAAAAGGAGCTGGTGCTTTAAGTGCATTAAGACCAGGCTGATGAGTGGAGGGAGATGACCATGGTTCCAGAGTATCTCCTGTCTCACTTGGGAGGCTGACTGGGGGACCACAAGAAGAGGAGGCAGCTTAGGAAGAAGCTAATAAGCTGTGAATATTTTGAGTTTGAGGTGACTTTGAAACATCCCAACAACCACAGAAGCTCAGAAAAGAGGCCTGGACTGAAGATGGGCTTTGGAGTCATGGGAACATGGATAATAGTTAAAGTAATGGATGTGGATGGCAACATCTGGGGCATGAAGAGCATGGACTTCAGGAAATACAAGGAACAAAGAATCTGGACAAACACCACCATTGAAGAGGCAGCAGGGAAAGAAGAGCACAGGTGAGGCTGAACTTGCCATCACAGATGGAGATGAGAGAACCTGATGACATGAAAGCTAAGAGAGTCTCAAGGAGAGCAGAGTGGTCAGAGGCATTAGAGGCCAGAGAAGAGCCAAGAAAGGCCAGAAAAGGAACATTTTGTTCGATAAGGAAAGGGTCTCTGCCTCAGAGCAATTTCAGGATAGAGAGAGCAATTTCATGGAGATAGCAGACTCATCACAGTGGAGTGCAGAGTCAGCAGGAGGAGAGATGCTTTGTGATTATCCTGAGATGATTCCTGGAACTTGATTGCAAATGGAAAGAGATGGAGGATACCTGGGTAATGTTGAGTGGTTGTTTGCTCTTTTATTTTTATTTTTATTTTTGTTTTTGTTTTTAAAGAATGCAGACATTTGAAGATACAAGAGAGAGGGACCAACTGAGGAAGCAAGACTCTGGGGACGCAGAAGGGGTCAGGATCCAGATCAATAAAGTTTGACTCTGAGCTGCACAATGACCACCCCAACCCCTGAGAAAAGAGCGAACAAGGTGGAGAGGGCTGGCATGATTGGGGTTGGGATAGGAGACATCAGGGGAAGACCTTGACAGAGCCCATCACCTGGGGCCTCAATCTTCCCTGTGAAGCAAGTTTCAGCGTCTTTGTGGAGATGGAGGTGGAGGGAAGCCAGAGGAGGTTG